AGGGTGTCACGACTCCAAAAACAATGGCAGACACTGGCATGGAGTTATCCAGAGAACCTCAGCTGTGCAAACACAAAGAATTTTAGCCTAATGTATTCATTATATTTCTCTAAATTTCCATTTTAATTATCACAAAGAAAAGGCAGCAACCTTTTTGCCACCCGCTATAATTTATACTTTCCCCAGCTAGATAAATAAAACTACTCTAAATACATCATAAACAAAATATTTATTAGGAGAAGCTCATTATTATGCATTTCATTCTGATAATAAGGTTTAGAAATTTAAATTAATATCAGGGTTGTGCATGAACATGACTATTAACATTTAACAATATTTAGCATTTATATAGTCCTTTGTATTTTCAAAGTACTTTAGTCATTAATTAATTAATCCTCACATCATTACTGTGAGTCAGGTCTGTATTAAAGCTAGTCCTTCACTTAGGGTTTCTCCAGCCATAAAATGGTTTTTGTAAGGATTCCACTTTCTCATCCAGAAGTTCTTACCAGAAGTCATTCTTTGTAAGAATCTCTGGTAGATTTGGCTGCTTCACAATGCGAGGAAGATTTCTGACTTGCCATTGGAATCTGTTGGTGAACATCGGGAACAAGTCTGGGAGGTACTTGCAGGACCTGCCTGTCTTGTCCTTAATCTCACTCGTGGTGTTTGTCCCCCTCCATGCAAAAAGGGGGATTTAGTGTTTGAAGGTGAGCCAATTTAGGGATGGGGAAAGTATACCTAGCCTCACTGCTTTAGGCAATTTCCTAGTGAGGACACTCTCAATTAAGGCAGGTAGGCTCCATCTTTGTGATTTTTAGTTTTAGAAATATTCCTAGAACAATGAAATTTGCCCAGGGACAGAGAGGCAGTATTTGTTGTAGGCAAATTCTCTATTCGCTATGCCCTGGTGCCTGCTTCCCCTGCTAATTTAGGGAAAGAAAAGTGAAAAGGAGGGGAAAGAGAGAAGGAAAAAGAAAAAGAGGGGAAGGGAGGGAAGAGAAAAACTTTGGTCCCGTAGAGGTAGCTAGGTGTAATAATGGATAGAGTGTTGGACATAAAGTCAGGAAGCCATAAATTTAAATTCTACCTCAGACACTTAACAGTTTTGTGATCCTGGGCAAGTCGCTTAACCACTCTTAACCTCAGTTTCTTCCATAAAATGTGAGGGGGGGAGAGGGGTGGGAGATGAACAGAATGGACAAAAAAAAACCCTCATAGGATTACTGCAAGGATCAAATTAGATAATATATGTAAAGCCCTTTGCAAACCTTAAAACCCTATGCAAATGCTAACTATTTGGACAAAGAAAAAAAAAGTCACTTTGGCCTAATACATCCAGGTAATTGAAACCGAAGTGCAATTTTGACCTCAAATATTAAGATAATGCACATCTATGGACAGAACCTAACAATGGCTAAGCCTAAAATAAGCTTTATAAGAACTCTTACTGGGTACGAGAATGTTGTTCTTGTCCTAAAATCAGCTGGTGAGATTCTGAAATGGCCTTCTGGTGTCCTTATCATGTTAACAAAGATAATACGGGAGCCAAAACGGCAAGTCTGTCATTATACACAAATTCAGTTACATGTAATACACTGAGAGGTTGGAGACAGAGGGAAAACCCAAGGCTGGAAAGGTTCAGTAATCAGAGATGATCTTCTTCCCCCAAAAGTTTTTATCTCTCTATGTCTCAGTTCTATGTAAAGCACCAAAATAGCTGTTTCTGACTTCTGTCTCTCTTGGTCTAGAAGTACATCAATTCTTTCCCCCTTAGTTTACACAAAACACGTTTAGAATTTTCAAAAGTAATTTCCTAAAACTAAAACAGAAAGGAAAGTAGAAAACCATTGGAATAAATGAGTTTGCAGAACACAGAGTCCTTAACTGAGCTTTTAACTAAAATATAGCCATAGATCAGTTGGTCTTGACGTGGTTCAACTTGGCTTAGCTTAGCTGGCAAAGTTTATAGGACCCTAATCCGGGTTCCTATTCTTCACCTCCTTGCTATCTGAGTTGGATTCTAAGCCAACTTACTCTGGTTTGACAGCTCACTACTAAGTCTGGTGAATCTCAATATCCTCCAGAGTCTGGTTCCTGGTTTGCTGTCCTGGCATGGGCTTCTAGGCTATCCCCTTTGCTACTAACCAGAGCTGTGATTGTTTTACGCAGCTATGTTGGCACCTGTGAATCTTCCCTGGCCCTATAGACGAGGAAGCCACTTCCCCATCTAGTCCCAAGAATTCCTCTCTGGAACTCCAGGCCACTTTGAACCCACCTGGGAGTCATTACCCCTCTTTTGTCTTTCCTAGGTACCACCATAGCTCCCTTTTGATCAGAGGCTCATCCCATTTCTTGCCTGACACCTGGCTTCCACCCTCATTTTTTTCTATCATTGTTTATACATTTTGGTTGATTTGCAAGCTGCTTCTCAGCTCGGTTTCTCTGTACCCATACTTGCCTGCTTCTTAGGCTTTGGCACTGTGGCCACTTCCAGGAATTGGTTTTTCCCATTATAGGGAGAATCTAAAGTGACCTTCAGCTTCCACAGGCACAATAGCTGGCTGCTAAATCCTTCCCTTCCAGGATTGCTTTCTCTCCTTCACTACAGCCAGACTATCTCCTAGTATTCTTATTGAGCACAATTCCTTCTTACCCACTATTGTACAATTGCATAATTCGCCCTTTATAAAATAGTGGAATTCTGTCTTTTTGTTGTGGCCCTTGGCTGTATCAGAGTATATCTAAAGCCTGAAGGGATATGTAACTCCTGTGGCTAGATGAGAACTTTACCAGTAGTTGACCCTGCTTACCAGTAGGGCAATGGATAATGGATATCTTAACCACTTTAAAACAGACACTGAAACTCCCCTTCAGGAATTTTTTTTTCTATAGAGCTAGCTGAGAGATTTCAAGCTGGGTACACAGAAAAATCTCCACACCCTTGCAACAGCTCTGGGAGCCATTTCTCTGGACCATGTAACCATGTAATAATTTGGACCAGAATAGAAAGCTGACTCCTAGGAGCAAAGAAATCACTATGATGTTCTCCAGGAATGAGCTCAGGGAGCCTGGAAGATCCCTATCATTTTCTTCTGGCAAGAAGGTGAATTAAGAACCTTTGGGAGATTTTCTTAGCTCCCAAACACCAATTTTAGATGAAGCAACTTTTTAATATATCAAGACATGCTCAAAATTCATTAACATCTACAAAGAGCTATGTCACTACAAACTCACCAGGTGAGCCTTTGATCCCCCAGGCTCCCAACCCTAAGTGAAAGCTGGAGAACACCTTTTCCTTCTCTAATCTGAAAAAAAAACCCTATTCCTTTTTTCCCGAGACCTTGTTTTTCTATATAAACTTGTTGATTTTCATATTTAAATATTTTTCCTTGAGCGTGTCAAAATATTATTATTAACCACAGGGTTAAATATGTTGATGTATTAATCTCTTCTCCTGAACAGTATCTTTGGACACCAATATGTTTATAAAGTGTGGTGATATTTTCATCCTGATCATTCTTTTCAAGCCATTTTTTACATGGACTAAGCAGAGGAAAGCTGGACAAGTCTTATTCTGGACAAGTAAGAAAATGGACCTTTGCAATGGAAAAAAACTGGAGAGGGGGAATTGCTAATGAGGAGCTGTTATCCCAGAAAAATAAGGGGAGAGTAAGAGACTATCTAGTTCCCCTTAATGAATTCCCATCCTCTGACCCAGATGAACTTCATCTTCTGATACTGAAAGAACTGGCAGATATTATTGCTGAGGTAGTGACAGTGATATTTGAAATATCATGAAAAGTGGAAGAAATACTGCAATAGTGAAGAAGAGCAATTGTTATCTCAATTTTCAAGAAAGAAGAGAACATAGTTTACACCCTTGAGTCTAGTGGATTTAATTTTGATTCTTGGGAAGATTATGGAATGGATCTTTAAAATAATGGTAAGAGAAAACCTAGAAAATAAGCATTTATTATAAAGAACCAGCATCACTTCATCAAAAACAGATCACTCCCTATTAACCATTTTTTTTGTGACATTAAACTAGTAATGACTAAACTAGTAGATAGGGCAAGTAGGTGGTACAAAGCGTAAAATGTACAGAGCGCCTGGGCTGAAGTCAGGAAGACTCATTTTCCTGAGTTCAAATCTGGCCTCAGACACTTACTACCTGTGTGACCCTGGGCAAGTCACTTCACCCTATTTGCCTCAGTTTTTTCATCTTCAACATGAGCTGGAGAAGGAAATGGCAAACTACTCCGGTATCTTTGCCAAGAAAACCCCAAATGGGGTTACAAAGAGTTGGTCATGATTGAAAGTACTGAACAAAAACTAGTAGATCAGGAAAATACTGTTGATATAGCTCACCTAGATTTGAGAAATGCATTTTATAAAGTATCTCATTCTATCTTATGAAAAACGTGCAGAGAGAGGTTGACTACATGATAGTATAATTAGGCAGATTCTAAACTGGTTGAATGAGAAACCATCCATGGTACAATATCAAGTAGCAGGAGCTCTGTAACAGAGTGTTCTGGTAATCTGTGCTTGGCCCTAACCTGTTTGATGGTTTTGTTAACCACTTGAATAAAAACAAAAAAAGGCACGTGTATCAAATTTTCAGATGTCACAAATCTGGAGGGATAACTAACACACTGGAAGATCTTGAGTGGCTAAAATATTGGGCTGATCTAAAAAGGCTAATGAGTCTAGAGATAATTGTAAATAAGAAATGGGTTTTTTAAATCCTCCTTTTTTTTTTTAAAGCTAGAGTCTCCCAATCTAGCCTAAGTTGGAAGTGCAGTGGCTATTTACAGGCTGTTCCCAATACTGATCAACTTGGAAGCTTGAATCTGCTCCATTTTTCTGACCTGGACTTTGCCCCTCCACAGCCAGCCTTGCTACCCTCACTTCCTGGACTTACCATATTATGTTGAACTTAATGTGCACAAATGACCAACTTTAACATTACTGAAGCATAGAACTGCTATACTCACATGATCATGATGAACTTCCTCATCCTCCCCAGTAACACAGGCTAATACAGTAATACAGGCTGCACCACCATGTTGGTCTAAAAAAAATGCAACTTCATTAGTACAATACTAGAGAGGTGTTGTTAGTAATCTGTCTTTAAAAGATCTGTGGATTTTAGTGGATTGCTATCTCAACATGAGTCAGTGGCGTGGCATGGAAGCCAAAGACACTAAAGTGATCCTGGACTTCATTAAGAAATGAAGAGCTTCCAGGTACAAGAAAGTCCTGCTATTCTATTCAGACCACATATAGAATATTTAGAATATTGCATCTGCCTCAATAGATGAAATGGGTTAAAATGATATGAACAGACCATTCTCAGAAAGGTAAATGCAAATTAACAACCATGTGAAAAATGCTCTAAATTATTAATAATAAGAGAAATAGAAATTATAATACATCTGAGGTTCTACCTCAAACTTATGAGATTGACAAAGATTATAAAAATGAAAATAACAATGGCTGGAGAAACTGTGGGGGTGGAGGGGATAGGCACACTAATTTACTCTTGGGGGAAGTTGTGAATTGGCCCCACTATCCTGAAAAGGCAATTTGGAAATATACTCTCAAAGTCAATAAAGGATCCATTCTCTTTGACCTAGTGACACTCTGTATGCCCCAAAGAGAACAATTATAGAAGGAAAGGACCTGGATGCACAAAAATATTTATAGAGGCCCTTTTTGTTGTAGAAAAAAACTGGAAACATTTGAGTGTTCATCAATTGGGTAATGGTTGAACGAAATATGATCTATGAATGTAATAGGATATTACACAAAAAATAAATGATAAAAGGGACAGATTCAGAAAAATATAGGAAGACTATTCTTTCTAAATGGAAATATTAATGCCTATTTTTTTAAGTTTGTAATTTCCTAAAAAAAAAAAGGTTTTTTTGGAGGGAAAAGTATTGTATTCCAAATCTAAAATTTTGATCCTTTCAAAGTAGTTCAAAAGACAGATTTGATGTAAAATACTTTCACTATATACTGGCTAGGAAGAACTATAGATCTAAAAATTTTTAGAGCCCTAAAATAGTCTTGGAGCCTCAGATTATGCTCACAAAGAACTATAAATATTTCCCAGTTGAAAGGACACACCAAAGCTTAAATTTGGTGAAGTACTTGCTGATAACAGTAGTAGCTTAGCAGTGAACTAGCAGATCTCAATGCAGCACAAAAAGCAGCCTAGCAGATGACTTCAGCAGTTTGAAGTTCAGTGAATAAATCAGCCTAGTGTTTCATATCAGAAGTCGAGCAGGTGACATCAGCAGCTCTGTAATCACTAAGTGGCAATTTCAGAAGCAGAGAAATGTTACAGCTGGGAAACAATCCTAGGAGTGTGTTAGCTAAGTTATGAATGTTCTTTCCTCGTAGTAATGGTGTAAAAATCTGTAGGGAAGTGTGTTACTGTGTGCAAGGGAAGTAAAAGAGGGGTTTCTTCCTTATTTTCTATGCTATTCTATTTAATCCAATATTTCTGTCTTGAATTAATGTCTTTTCATTTGCTCTGTTTTTTTTTTTAATGAAAGTACAGGATGGGGAAGGAAGGAAGGAAGGAAGGAAGGAAGGAAGGAAGGAAGGAAGGAAGGAAGGAAGGAAGGAAGGAAGGAAGGAAGGAAGGAAGGAAGGAAGGAAGGAAGGAAGGAAGGAAGGAAAACAAGAAAGATGGAGGGAAGAATGGAGGGAGGGAGAGAAGGAAGGAAAAGAAAAAAGAGGAAAAAATAGCAAGAACAAAGGAAAAGATAGAGGAGAAAGAAAAAGAGAAAATGCAAGGAAAGAAGGGAGGGAGGGAAGAAGGAGAGGAAGACAAGAAAGAGAGAGAAAGAAAACTAATGAAATAGGAACTCGTAAGTGGTGGTTTTGATTAGATGTTGACCCTAAGTTTAATTTGAACCTGTGCTATATTTCAGAAGGTCACATTGGTGGAGTCTGTGCTATTCATCTAAATTTCAAATAAGTACATAGTCTGGATAAAGGTGTTATTTGTATCCTATATATTCTATGGGTTGCTTCCTGCCCCACCCTTGCCCTCCTCATCAGTCCAGAGATTTTGTCAGGCAAGATTTTATATTGATGATTCTGAAGCTTGAGTTTAGGTTGTAATCTGTTTGTTTGTTTGATTACCTGGTCATGATAGCCCAACATAGAAGCATGGAGTAGCACAGGGGCTAGAACTACATCCCGCCAGGTTCCAAGATTACCTTACAGCTGTTAGAAACAGGATGAATGGGTAGATAGAGCACCGGCCCTGAAGTCAGGAGAACCTGAGTTCAAATCTGGCCTCAGACCAAACACTTGACACCTACTAGCTGTGTGACCCTGGGCAAGTCACTTAACCCCAATTGCCTAAAATAATAATTTTTAAAAAAAGAAGAAGAAACAGGATGAATGCAAAAATTCAGAGAGGTGAAACAAGAGATGGAAAAACAGGACCACTGGATTTTTAAATTTGGAAAGCACTTCAGAGATTAGCAGATTCAATATTCTCCCTTTATTGATTAGAAAACTGAGGCTAAGAGAAGTTAGATGATTTGTCCATGGTTGTAGAAGTAAAGTGGCAGAGCCAGGTTTCAGACACATTTTCTGATTCCAAATCTGGTGATATTTTTTTTCCTACCACTTTATTTATGAGGTCTTTTTATTTCTACCTTCTCTCAGTCTCTGTCTCTCATCTGTCTCTTCATCTGTGTTTCTCCATATGGGAAATTGAACAAAGGGAGAAAAAAGGGAGATCAAGATTCAAGAGAATCATGGGTAGGGACCAAGATACAGGAGGGGAAAATAGATTATATATATCAATATCTATACCTATATCTTTTCTATAGATGACTATACCTATGTCGTCTATATGTATATACACATATATGTAGAACTATATATGTATTTATATATACACACACACTATGTAAAGAAAGAGACAGCAGAGAAGTCAAGTGATTATCATTTTCCTATGCCACCACAAGATTTTTGTTGGATTTATTCACTTGTTATTATTCTTCTCAAATACTGGTTCTGTTTCCTTGCTTTTGGACTAGCAAAGTCAGCATGAAAAGCCTGACCCTTACATCAGTAAACAGAGTGTACCACACTGCTGTACTTCTGCTCGAAGTTGATGTTTTTAGAGGATAAGCTGATGAACAAATCCAGCAGTGCGTGGCCTGCTTGCGAGAGCTAGAGAGTCCAGGCTCTGATGTGTGCTGGTGAAATTTTCCAATGAACTGATTTTTCATCTGTATTATGAGCCAAACTAATTAATTAATTAACACAGCATTTTGCACTTAATTATATATAATTCATGTATTCTGTCTCTTGAGAAATGTATGCAAGTGAGAGGGAGAGAGAAAACTCCTGATAACTGATCTCGATTAGGAGAGGTATCTTCAGGGATTTATATACCATTTCTCCTTTTGAGTGAAGATAAATTTCATAAGAGAAAAATTATGCATTATACTGTATACAATGAGCTGTGTTTTTTTTTCCCTTCCACTTTTCTTCTTGAGTGAAAAGGCGATGATAGAGAATAAAGAGTAAGGTTCAGAATTATATTAAACTCTTGTAATTTGTGAGATGTTGTGTTAGTGATGAAATAGCATCCTGGCATAAATCCGTAGCACAAAAGAGAGGGTTCTGCTCCATGACTCACATTAACATTAATAAGAGCTGGGGCTGCTAAATTCCACAAATCCCATGACAAATTATCTTCTCTGTATGCTAAACTAAAAGTCAAAACAGCAAACAGGAGGACACTGGATAGTTCAGATGACTGCTAATAGGAGCTATCAAATCTCAACTTTTAGGGGAAAACTGGATTTTCGGGTGAAAGAATGGGATTGTAAAACTCAGAAACTTTCTAGGCCACCATGTTAACTCTCCAGGTTTGCCTCATACATATTTCCTTGGAATTCTAACTGGGGAGACAGGTGAGAATAAAGACAATTGATTTTGACAGATGATGTTCTGACCTGAGGTTAATAAATTGTGAAATTTTTGTCTTCAGCTCAGTGTGAACTCTCTTTGGGGAAATTGAGTTTCGTAAAGCTCATTTGGATGAAAATATACAGGAGTAGACCGAAACTGCCAGCTTATTGGCTAAGTAGCTGAAAATACACGGGACTGTGGCAAGTTAATACGAGTTGGTGCTGGAGGCAATCTAAAATGGATAAGGAAACTTTTAATCATATATTGTGGCTAGAACCTGCCCTGGTGGGTGGCTCAGACTACTATTGAGAGGCAGTTAGCTTGACCTACTGAAATAACTTGATGATCTAATCCAGGTCCCAACAGACAGATCACCCTGAGTTTGGAACTAATAGTTGCCTTTTTACAGAGTCTCAGCAGAGAGACCAGGATTATTGGATAATGGAAAATGAATAATACAGGTAGAAGTGCCATTGAGATAGAGTTAAGGTATGTTAATGGACAGTGAGGTGAATTTGTAATAGTCTAAAGTTACCCACATTAATGTGTTTTACATTTGTAAATCTAAGAAAGACAAACAGATAGAAGGTCTCTGCAGTTAAGATTGAAAGGAGGTGAAAGTTAATGTTTATACTTCTATCTTGAAAGCTGATTGTTTATTTGGTTTTTGAGTGCTGTACTTTGTTTTCAAGCCCCTTATAGGGGAGCCAGTTTTCTTTTCAGGTAGTCTTGAATTTAACCAAATACTACATAAATCAATCCATTTTTGTTGTGTCTTTGTTGCAATGGTTTTAATTGGTAATTTGTAAGTAGATAAACTAGTATTTCTTTTTATACTAAAGACCTTGAGGCAGGAGTGGGAAAAGTTATGTTCACAGAGAATAATAAGATAAAGTAAAGGAATCCCCAGGCAATGAGCAAATAGCTTGCAGAAGTCTAGAAACAGAGGTCACCATCTTGAAAGATTGGAGAGGGAATGAGTTGGCCTGTTCTAAAGAAAAATAATGGGATTCAGTTTCTTTATTTGTAAAATGACATGGAGGGATAGGGAATTGGAGTGCTTGATTTGATGGTTCATATGAGCTCTGAATCCTATAAACCCATTTGCCTCTGAGACTC